GGATGGATGGATGGATGGATGGATGGATGGATGGATGGATGGATGGATGGATGGATGGATGGATGGATGGAATCTAACCCTCTATTTAGTTGCATCCAGTTAGGTTAATGGTTTTACAACACATGCCCTTCTAGACACAACCACCATTCAATGCGCTACCCCAAGTTTTGTTGTAAAGATCCTGGTATTTGAATAAGTGACCTTTTGATGACAGGCTTGCCTTCTCTAACCTTTAAACCACTACTCCCCCACTTCACTATCCCCCCTCCCATTATTAATTGGGTTAAAATAATTATTATGAAGAAGACCGGTGTATAGTGAGAATGGAGAGTACAAATGATTATTGGCTCACTATTTGACAACAATTGTATTTTTATCCAATAAAGCAGGGGTGTGAAACTCACTTACAAAATGGGGCCAAACTTAAAACCTTTTTCAAACTAAGGGCCAGTTTCAGAAGCTACATTAACTTCAATTAGATACTAAATGTCTTTTCTTGGTGGCAGGTTCCTCAAAAAGTTTGATTGGTCTCATTTGATGTTCTCTGTTGCACTTTTGATATCATAATCAAAGATTACTAAAAATTTAAGTGAAAAAAGTATTTTACGTTTAAAATCTCATCTTGGGGGGCAGATAAGATGTCAAGGAGGGACACATTTGGCTCCCGGGCCTTGAGTTTGACATGTGCAATAATAGAACTGTTTATTATTGGGTCATTAAGTGTTTACAACTCCAGTCCACCTGTACCAACTGTTTATCTGTCATTTTCTGGTTGTAATATGGTACTAAAAATCCTCAAGTGAACTTTAGACATCTTATCTTTGTACTGTTATTAAGTTAATACAAACGTTATAATCTGTTGCATCTGTAGATTTTTATGGACATAACGTGAAACTCACTTCTGAAGCATTAGTAGGATGTTCATGTGTTTGAGGTCTAGCTTGATCCCACTGCTGCTGCCCAAGGATATTCAGAGAGGTGGTGCGAGGCCGATGGGTGACGATAAGAACCTCCTGAGCCCAATCATCCATCAGTCCCTGCAAGTCTTCAGGTATGTTATTCTCTATGGCATTCACAGATGTACCTCTTTTGTTGTTGCTGTTATTAGCCTGTGCTTGGGCCAGGCCAGTAACAGGCTGAGGAGGAGGAGGTGTAACAACACCGGGCATTTGCTGTGATTGATTGAATGCACCGGACGCTGAAGCTCCAAATCCTAAAAATGCACACACACATTAATTATAATGGTAATGTGGTTAACAAATACTTGGGTCTGATGTTAGACAAATAAATTTGATGTGATACATAGTTATACATACTGCTGCCTCGCTCTTTACCAAGACACAGTCTTTTCAGTGTGGACCCTACAAGATAAAACAAATAACGAATACAAATTTCAAGTTTCATTAACACACAGTAGACTTCAAATGTGAATACTGTGCAAAGTACAGCTGCTAAATACTGCCACAAAACAAAGAAACAAACTTAAGCCAAGAACCAAATTATTTTCAAAAACTAATGAGACCTCCTAAATATGACAGTGGAGACTTTAAAAGTATCATGCATGTGAGAGTCATATTATCGTGCATTTCATAAGAATTCGAAAACAAAGACAGTAAAAAGCTGTGCAACTTGACACAAACAAAATTTGTTATAGACTGCAAAACTTTTGTCATGCACCAGCCTACTTTAAAGTATTGCAAGGTGCATGAAACACTGCAGAATGGAAAATAACAGAAAAGTCACAAAATTATACGTTACAAAATGAATAATACACAAAAGTTTTTAAAAAGTAATCTAAAATGATAAAAATAAAAATTAAACATATTACTAAATTGAACCTTGATTATCCAAACCTCAACCATATAAAACTGCAGTGAGGGTGTTATAGCAAGTGACGATAACCCTCGAATGTTTTTGAGGTAATCCTAAAATGGAAAAATATAATATCAGTCAAAACGTTTCTATCTGAGGGGTTTGAATAAGCAACAAGTGCCTGTGAAATAAAATACACAAAAAAGGAATAGCTGCAAAAAAGAAATCGGCTTATAAATAATGTGTAAAATTTGTGAAATGAAGAATAAAGCTAACTAAAAAAGTGAAGCTAGGCAGGAATAAAAGAGATACAAACAGATAGACAAAGAGACAGGCCCGCTGAGAAATCTAGCTCGTGGTTTGCTACTGGATTTATTGGTCCCTCTTTCAGATGGTTGAGGGTAATTAGACCAGCCTGTAGAGGAGCATAATGAAGGGAAGAAGATGAAATGGTCAAATGTACAGGAACCAGAATACCCAACATCAATAAATAAAGTAGCACAAATTATTTATTTCATCATGCATTTCTTTTTTTTGTTGTTGTTGTTGTTTTCTTGTCTGTATTCTTACCTTGGCCAGGTGAAGCCTGTGTGCTTACACCGTCTCCATGTAGTCCAGCATAAATATTGTCAGAAGACAGGGAGCCTTTGAGGGAACAGGGCTGCTGGGTCTGTACAGGTTCTGAGGTTGATGTGGGGAGGTGGCTGGTGCACGACTGTGGCCTGCTGTGGGTGGGGAAATACGTTTTGGCCGGAGAGCCATTTAAACTCACTGTGGGCTCAGCTGTAGCAACAGCAGCAGCTGCAGAGCCTGGACACACACACAATCATGAGACTGAAACTAGACTTTGTTAAATCTTGCTTGAAATATTGAACCACTAGACGTTTGAACTCACTGGATTTGCCGGAGTCACCGCTTTTGGTTTTAACATTTCTAAACTGTTGAACCAGAGGGCTGAGAAGTTTTCCTGGTTTTAGCCTGTGCCTGCTGGACCTCTTTCTGCGACTTCCATGTGGAGCGACATGTAAAAGACCAAGACCGGGAGGAGGTGCTTTACCAAGCCTTCGATAGAGCAGCTCCACCTCTCCCCGCTGATGTGCTTGTAGCTCCGAGATCTCCCTCAGATGTCTGAGGGGTTGAAGGCAGGAATATGAAGACTACTAACAAGATAAATGGCAAAACGTTCAAACCACATATCAAAAAAGACCTTACTTCTCTCTTAGTCTCTGAAGTTCCTTTTTAATGTCAGAGTCCTCCATCTCTGAGTCATTATCACTGCTGGCATAGGCAGAGCCGTGCACGCCTCCATGCCTCCCTGGTGAGTCAGAGCTCTGCACACTGCTGCTGCGACCGGTGCGGCGGAGAAAGGCCACTGCCCGCTTCATGAGGTCACTTCCTCTGCGTTCGGAGCGAGGGTGATGCAACAGCGTGGCAGGAGTTGGCTTCACAGGGCTGCTCTCCGCCCCGGAGTCTGAGGACAGGAAGCGGGCATGGACCGTAACATCCGCAGGGACAGAGTCCGAGGTGTGAGCGCGAGGCAGCGATCCCCTCTTACCCATGGAAGGAGGCGTGTCCAGGTAGAAATCCGGTGGGGCAGAGTAGCGGCTGCAGCGTGTCCTCTGTGTGATTTCATCCTCTGTGCTCACCACAGAGAAGCGACCAATCGTGGTGGAGGTAGCCAAGGCCTCAGCCTGAACATGGTCCCTGATGTAACCGACGGGGTGTGCAGGGGAGGCCGCGCTGCTCCAACTCCTCTGCTTCACATCCCGTCTGTTGGCCACTTCAGGAGGAACGGAGATGATCTGACAAAAACGAAGAAGATACTGAGATTCATAAAATGCCACGATGTTTCTATTACAGCAAACGCTACTCCAAAGCAAGGATTCATTTCATTCCACGTTGTTCCAGTTTGAAATAATATCTGAAAATAAAAACATCACAAATTTATTATCAATTAATAAATAAAACAATGCATTCTAAAGTTAGGATGCATATATTGTCTAAAGCAGTTAAAATAAATTCTTTAAAATGTACACATTAGACCTGGTAGGCATGCTGTGCTTTAAAACTATTAAAAGTAGTGTTAAAGTCTGAATGTCAAAATATTTTATTAAGAAGAGTTACTCTAATTGAATAAGTTAAACTTTAATAACACAAATCAATCTATGCTTTTACTGTTAATGTGCAAATGTAATTATGTGTATAATTATGTATATTTATGTATAATTACTGTATTATGTGTGATGTACTCTTTTGTCAATAAAAAAAAAAAAAAATTAATTAAAAAAATGTTTTCTAGGGTGGCAGAGTGGCTCAGTAGGTAGAGCTGTTGCCTTTCAGCAAGAAGGTTGCTGGTTCAAATCCCAGCCCAGGACATTCCTGGGTGGAGCTTGCATGTTCTCTCCGTGCATGTGTTGGTTTCCTCCCACGGACCCAAAAACATGCATGTTAGGCTGATTGGTAATTCTAAATTGTCCCTAGGTGTGAGTGAGAGAGTGAATGGTTGTTTGTCTTGTTTGTCTCTATGTGGTCCTGTGATGGACTGGAGACCTGTGCAGGATGTACCCCGCCTCTTCCACAATAATAGCTGCACATGGGCACCAGTGACCCCCATGACCCAAAAAGGAAGAAGCTGGTAAAGATAATGGATGGATGAATGGGTTGTTTTCTACCTTAAATCGACCTCTAGTTCCAGTGCAAGACGCAGAGTGAGGGACCGGTCTTCTTGAGAAAGAAGCTGCGGGATAATTTCCAGAACACAGATTATTATAAAATAAAATGTCAATTTCAGTTGAAAAAATGATTTTTCATTGCCAACTATCCATTAGATGGAATAATGCATAGTTTACATACCACACACAGCTGAGTCACTCAGTGTGCTCAGACTGTCCATTCTCTCAGGAATTTGAGGCTTATAGAGTTGGCAGGTGGAGAGAGAAACAAAGATAAGAAGAAGGAAGTAAAATAGAAACCATTAATCACTGTAGCATTACATGAGAAATATTTGAGATGAAATCTTATTGCAGCTTAGCAGCACTATTGTTTTAAATATCACTGAGCGACTAAACTGTTTTTCTATGTATTCAACATATAATAAGTACTTCAACTGCATGTATATACTAAACTAAACATTTCCAGGCTGTATTTTTGTGTTTACCAGCTGTTCTCCTGCCCTGTAGCGTCCCTCCCCGATAGGCCCTGGGGTGCTGTTCCCTGACCCTCCTGTGGCGCTGTCAGGACCAGGAGGAAACTGAATGTACTCTGTGCCGGATCCTGGTGTCTCTGCAGCATTGCCTGATGGATACATGGGAGCGTACTCCTGATAAAGTAAATTCCTTAGTTTTTCATCCAACGTTTTAATGGTGCTGTCGACAAAACCGCCACGGCCCAGTCGTCCTTCACTGTCAGACTCACTGGGCCCTGCACCGTGTTGGGATGGTGCTGGACTCTGAGGTAGAGAAGACCCTTTGGTCCCACCCACAGTTGCAAAAGGCTGATGGAGAACCACAGGCTGATGTGTCAGTTCGGAGCGGGCTGCCGGGGCGTAGGACGCAGATGATGGCTCTTTGGTTGAACTTAGCTCCTTGAGGGGGAGAGGGGTGAGGGGAGAACCACCTTGTGATGCGCTCGCATCCAGGGATAGAGGCATAACAAGAGGACAGCAAGGCACCTCATCTACAATAGAAACTGGACGTGTCAAATCAAGCTTCTGCTGAGCTGTACGAGGAGAAGAGACGGAGCCCAGAGGAGCTCCATGAGACTCTTCCACTGGGAAATATGTATGAGGTAACGATGGGGGCAACGTATGAGCTCTAACTGGTTTGACTTGAGGAACAGCAGATTGGACAGAGCTGACGGCAAGGTCCAGCGAAGATGTTGACTGGAGAGCTGGGGGTGCAGACACAGGAGGTGACAGAGCTGCCAAGAGGAGTGGGTCTGTGTTCGATGCCACTGGGGGACTAGAGAATCCATAAACCTCAAAGTGAAATCCTCCACTCTCACCGGACATTGTGGAAGAGGAGCCCTCTTCTGCAGAAAGAAAAAAGAACAAAATGAGCTCAAACATGACACGTCATTCATTTCTAAAGCTAAATGTTTATGATAAGATCATCATTTAATGGTAATGGTAAATGGTATGTACTTATATATCCCCTTTCTATCTTATTGAGATACTCAAAGCACTTTACACTACAATCTGCGCCCTCATTTACCCATTCATACAGCACTCTACTAGATCCGTATAAAGACTAATCAGTGCTTTATCACATTCGTACACCGATGGGACACACATCAGAGGCAATGAAGGGTTCAGTGTCTTGCCCAGGGACACTTCACCATGGGACTACTGGTGGAATCAAACTCCCAACTCTTGCAATGGAGAATGGCCAGCCCAGATGTAGAACAAACAGATTGAAAAACTCATTCATCCCTGTAGCAATCAGGTTTCTCAATGAACACTAATGTCAGTACTGTTACTTTAATGTCTTAATGTCTTGTGTGTATATATATATATATATATATGTATGTATGTATGTATGTATGTATGTATGTATGTATGTATGTATGTATGCATGTATGCATGTATGCATGCATGCATGCATGCATGCATGTGTATATGTACACATCTACTGACTGTGAAACTAATTGCCCCTCGGGGATAATAAAGATACTTGAACTTGACTGCTCTAACCACTCAGCCACAGCCGCCTCAATAACACTTATTGATCTAACCAATAAGTGTTCAAGAAAGTCATTCAACTGCCATAAACTAGTGCTACTGTTCCATGTTTCTGGTAGCTATTTTACTGATGGTGTGTAGGAACACAGTGACCTCTGCAGGTGGAGGGTTTTGCAGTGATGCTGTCAGCGAGCTGCGTAGTGGCTGAGCTCCCAGGTGACTGCGTGGCTGTTCCATCAGACGGGGTGTCCTGACTAGATGTGGGTGTCTCCTCCACTGGGCAGATTATGAACCATCTCTTTCCTGTGTGAAGAACTGTAATCAAAAGAAGCACAGAATCAGTTAAAATATGTGAAATACCAAACAAAAATGTAGTTACAGTTTTTAAAAAAAGTTGTGTTACCATTTTGCTGATATACAGGCTGAGGTGCTCCTGGCTGCAGACTCTACAGGAGATGTACACATGTGACATTGTCCTTCGTATTTATTAGCATACACTGTGCTTTAGTCCAGATATTTAAAACTTACCTCCCCTACCTCCGACATCTGGCCTTGTAGTGGACTACAGCTCAAAGCTGTGCTTTTTTCATCACCCATGTCTTCATTCAGCATGTCTTCAGCCTTGTCCACAATATCCTTCAGTTGATCAATGAAGATCTCCTTTTCCATCGGTAAGATAAAACCATTCTCTGCCTGTAAACATTCAGTTATAAAGATCTGAAACAATGATACAAACACGGACAAAAGCTGTAAACTTAAAGAAGCTGAACAAACCATGTAAGTGGCAATTTCCTCAGGAGCATCTCCGTCCAGATCAAACTTAAATGTCACCATTTTGTGGTTGTGAGTCTCCAGCTGGCATTCGACCATTTTATCACCAGTGTTACAAACCTGTGTAAAGAGGGGTTACCATTGACTGATATTTAGGTATTTGAAGGGTCTGTGATTTTGTTTTGTTGTAGTTTACACCATGACTCACATTGAGCATGCTCAGTTTGGGCTTGCTGGTCTTTTCTTGCCTGGAACGTGTGCGGGAAGATTTACGGTGGTGCTTTCTGGGTTTTATATCCCCCTTGCTCCCACTAGCCAAGCTTTCAAAGCCGTCACTTGTTTCTCTGCCTGATGCTACATCCGAGTTGACACTAAATGGGGAAAAAAGGTCACCGTTAAGGTAATTTCCCTTGCAATAAAAAGTTTAAAAACATAAACTGAATGAGAAAATTAAAACATATATAGAGCTCAAAATTAGTATAAAACTAAACATACCTGTCATAGGCATAACTAGAAAGTGATAACGCTTTATCACGAAGAAAATCCTGACAAAAATAAAAACATTTAGTGAAAAACAGTTAGAGGACCCGTTGTAACATGCTTTTACTATATTCTAATGTAATTTCTGTGTTTGCTTTGCTTCTAATTTCTCATTACCTTTTTAAACACTGTACAACTTGTTTAATGCTGTTAAAAACTTAATAATTATTAGATTAGTTTTAAAAGACCTGCTTTGTGGATTTACCAGTCTGTGATTTGTGATTGGTGAGTCAGTGAAAGAATCACGGTAAGACTGTCTTTTAATAAAGTTAAGTGTGCAGATAGTTTAAAAAATGTGCATGAATACGAAATAGAAGTCACCTACGTAATGTCGCTAAAATTAGAAACATCTTATCTAAAAATGATGCAGAAAAACTGGTTCATGCATTTGTCACATCTAGACTGGACTACTGCAATGGTTTGTTATCTGGGTGTCCAAATACTTCTTTAAAAAGTCTTCAGTTAATCCAAAATGCTGCTGCCAGAGTCTTAACTGGAGTTAGTAGGAGAGATCATATTCCTCCAGTTTTAGCTTCTCTCCACTGGCTCCATGTCAAGTCCAAAATTGAAGTCAAAATCTTGCTTCTAACCTACAAAGCTCTCAACAACCTAGATCCATCTTATATTCGAGATCTTATTGTTCCATATTTTCCTAACAGAGAACTTCGCTCTCAAACTACAGGCTTATTTGCGATTCCTATTCCTTTTTGTTAAATCGTATAATTAGGGTTGGCTTGTTATGCTGACTTAAGCTTAGACTACTAGAGGACAAAATGACCTCATGTCCTTAAATGAATTGGTAAAATTCAATAGTTTTCATTTGATATTATTTCTATGTTAACTTGTGATTCTCAACCTGCCATTGTGTATCTGTTCTTCTCAAACCCAGCCAGATGAAGCAGATGACCTCTTGTCCTGAGCCTGGTTCTGCTAAAGGTTTTTTCCTCATGAGGGAGTTTTTCCTTTCCACTGTTACCTTCATACTTGCTCAAGATGAAAGTTCTGTGATCAAGTTAAGTTCAAAGCAGTCTGCTCCTCTGATAAATAATGTTAACTTATTTATATTTATGAATGTTTCTGTTCAGTGCCCTGAGATGACTCCTGTTGTGAGTTGGTGCTATATAAATAAACTGAATTGAATTAAAGCAAATATTACATTTATTCTGAACTTTTGTAATAGCTTATATATCTAAACCAGTATTAGTCTCAAAACTGTACAAGTGTTATCTGTACCTCTACATAGGGCTCTTGTTGAAGGCTTCCAGAGATAGATGACTCCAAATTTTGCTGAGTTGTAGTCAGGCTGGCACACTCGGGCACTGAGTCTGTTGTCTGGATGCCAGCAGGCTGCAGAACTGAAGCTGCAACAGGAGCTGCAGGCTGAATTGGTGCTGGCGGAGTGACAGAAACTGGGTCAGAAACTAAACCAGGGGTGGAGATATGAAATTTACTCCTGGCAGAGGGTGCGCCTGAGCCCATTGTGGAGATCGTTGTTAGCTCTGCAGTAAAACTTGATGTAGTTAATGGTGCTTGAACTTGGGCAGAGGACATAGTTTCCAGTGTTTGTGACACATGTGTTGGCACTGAAGTTGGGGCTTTAACAAGTGTTGAGGCTGAAGTTGGAGGCACTGCTGCAGCTTGAGCTGACACTGGGACTGGAGGTGGAGTTTGAGCTGGGACTTTAGTTTCAAACTGGACTGTAGCTGGGATGGAGATTAAAGTTGGAGCTGAGAATCCAGATAAGTCATGGCCAGTAGCAGTAGCTTCTCCCCAGAGTGGAAGGTGACCAGCAGGCAATACAGGAGGGACTGTTTCCAAAAGCTGAGCATCTCCCAGAGCCCCATGGGGAGCAATTACCTACAACAGAAACAACAACAGAAACAAACAATAAATAAATAAATAAAGCAAGTACTAAATAAATTGTCCATCAGTCTATTAATCCTGCTCTGAATCTCCAAGGGCATGCTGTGCATGCATTACACCATCGGGACACATTGCCACCTTAGCATGAGAGATTTCTCAAGATCGAACCATTTCAGTGAGAACTGAGTCAAATATTCACCTGGACAGGCTGTTCAGTCAGTTCCTGCTCAGGAAGGGGGGCAAGGAATGGGGTGGGTTGTACCTGAGAGAGTAAAGGATGGGTGGAATGGAAGCTACCGAAGTATGGCTGAGATGTGGGGAGGCCACCTTGTTGCTGTGGCACCACAGGGGACTTGGCCAGTCCGAGAAGTGGAACAGGGAGCGCCAAACTGGGCATGTGTTGAGGTGTGGATAGGGGGGTCTGAGGGGTGCCAAGACTAGGTACAGATGGAGGGGCTGCATGAGGAGTGAGAGGAAGGGAAGGCAGGTGAGGTGAACGTGAGTAGTAGGGACTAGATATTGGAGTCTCACTGCTGGGCAGAGAAGCTAAGGAGAAGGGAGAGGGCATGTGAACAATGGGGTATGATGAGTAAAACTGGGAAAGAAAAGGGGAAAATGAAATAAAAATGAACAAAGACAGCGACTCGATACATACAACAGTCACACGGGTCCTTTGTTTATTACTGCAACCCTGCACATTTTTTAGGATGTTCTAACCAAACTGAATGTTTAGTTTGTTCTTGTGTTTCTAATATTACCACAACACACCTGTGTACTGATCTGCAGAGGCAGAAGGGGGGGAGGAGCACTGCAGAACGGGAAACCGTTGGCGGTACCAGGAGGACTCAGGTGTGACGCAGGCTGGTCAGCAGATAACAACTATGAAAGAAGATCAAATCAAACCTTTTGAACTGAAAATGCAGATTGCGTGTTGAAGTTCACAAAAGATTCAGATTTGGCCTTTTTAGTTTGTCCTTTCTTTTTTCTTTTTGTATGTATTGATATATGCACAATCAGCCATGGATTTCTGACATAAACCCTCAGAATACAAACTAAAGCCTAGGAAAAGTAGAAGCTTTCCAAGTAGTGTCTTTGTGACAACTGGTGCTTGTCTCTTTGGAGAAGTTTGGCAACAATAATATTTTCACACCATTTTCTGGATCAAACAAATATTGTTGAATAATCCCAGTATTGGAATTGGCCTTAGCATAGCTGAAGGGCTGCATGATGGGTGGCACAGTTTGACTCTTAGCGTAGGTCTTTTTGTACATTTTCTCTCCATACATGAGTGGATTTTACAGTTTCCTCCCACAGACCAAAAACATGCATGTTAGGGTAATTGGCAACAATAAATTGTCACAAAGTGTGCGTGAGAGCATGTATGGATGGTTGTCTGTCTTGTTTGTCTCTATAAGTCATATGATGGACTAGCAACCTGTCCAGGGTGGACTCTGCCTTTGACCCAGTGACCACTGGAGACAGGGACCAATCCTCTGCAACTCTAAACAGGAATAAGCAGTTATAGAATAAAGATGGTTGAATCGCTCAAATAACGCAGGGCAGTTTGGTTTGCTGTTTATCAGAATTTGTGGAGGAAAAACAGTAAAAATTCCCACCCCAAGTCATTTTAAGGCAACAAGAACGTGTGTTTGTGTGTTAAAAATGTTAAAATGTACATATTTTAAAATGCATTTTTAGGAGATTAATGTCTGCTAAAGTATGATTTTTTTTTTTATTAACCTATCCTCTGTTTTGAAATGCTTCACTGTGACTCATGTGAGCTGCAAGGCAAGCAGATTAATTTAGTGTGGTTTGTACTGTGCTGCTCTACCTGGGATGGGACAGCAGCTGGTTGGAGTTGACACTAAAGGGAGGAGACAAATAGGAAGGAAATATAAACTGCATAAATATGTTCTGATACAATTTTCAGTTTAAAATAATTTTAGGTCTTGCCTTTCTCATGTCTGTATAGACACTTTGCCAGGACACCTCACTGAAGTTAATTATCCTTGCCCTGGCTAATCAGACTTGTTTCACTAGCACATGGGTTTATTAATAAAAGTAGCTGGCTGGTCATAGATGTGTGCATATGACATTGCCCTCTTTACAAAGGTCACCAGAGGTCAGTCACAGTTTTATGCATGCAGTACAGTGTTCCCTCATTTATCACAGGTGTTAGGGACCCGCCCCCACACCCCCCCACCCCCCCCCC